ACGGAAGCAGACTGCCACATCTTTCTCCCATGGAGGAGCTGTTGAGTTCAAACCACTGACCTTTCCGTTAGCAGCCAAGCACTTAACCACTGTGCCACCAGAGTTCCTTTGCCTCTATAACTAGGTAATAATTGACCCATGTTCCTATTTTTATTCATTACAAACACAGGCATATCTGAGCAATGGAATAAACCAGAGTCTCCTCACTGACCTGCCTGAATTCCATCCAAAAGCAAAAATGAGGCTGTTAGTAAGCCCATGCAGTCTTCCATCCAGTCAAGGCACAACTTCCTCTCAGCTTTTTGAAATACTGAAAATAGCTGTTGCACCCCCATTATTACCTCCAAAAAATCCTTTTGGGATTCTCTGGCCTAATGATCTAATTTCGTTTTAATTCGATGACTGTTCTTAGAAGCAATGACAGAATGAGGCCATGCACAAAGACTGTGATCCCAAATAGTGACGCCAGGGGGCAGACTATTTAGGCAGAAGATTTTGATTCACTTTTGTCCCAGCACAAAAAAGTTCCCTCTTTGCAAGTTACTGACAAGTCCAGGTTGAAGAGTCTCTTTTTGTCTATCTGTCCTTCCTTCCTCCCTCCCTCCCTCCTTTCATTCCTTCCCTTCCTTTTTTCTTTCTTTTTTTTCCTTTTAATACCTCATGACGTTTGCAAGTTAATGTCTTCAATGTCGGCATGGACAAAAGTCTATAAACTTACTTACTAGTGACCAAAGCGGCAGTGCAGGGCGGCCAGGTTCAGCGCCGCGTATCGCAAGCTCCGGCCGTAGCCCTCTTCCCCGTTACTTTTGCTCTCCGCTCCGGTAAGAATCAGGCGGTCAAAATAGTGAAGGAGGCTGTGCGTTGAACTAAAAACATCTTGGACCCGGAGATTGTTTAAGTAGCTGAGATAATGCTAAAACAAGAGACAATCGTGCGCGCTTGAAAGAAATCAGGTTACTGGCAGGTAGACAACTCAGCATAGGTTGCTAAGCCCCTGGGGCCCTTAGGAACAATTTCATATGTTCCTCTTCCTCTTGTGGAAGACTACTACAAACAACACCTTTCGAACAGGATGGTCACACGTGGGCCATACACTCCCCTACACGGGGAGCAGGGTTAAGTTCAAGGTAAACTGGCTTGGCACAGTTCCCTCTAGAGGGAGTCTCCAAATGAACAATGTGAGTTTGGTTAGAAAGCGTGTCAGCTGTATCCTAAATATGCACACACTATGCCACTAGTCACGCCAGGACCCGTGGGTGATCATGTGAGGGTAGAGACGGAACTCACTTCGCTTGGATATTAAGGTATTAGTTTAGGTATTTATTTTAAAATATTTAAACCTGAATTCATATACAAATTATGAAATTAATCTTTCTAAACGTCCAAGTTAAAGCACAGTGAAACTTCTACTCACTTACGAAGTTAATTATCTTCTATTTTGGAACTATTCTCATTTTGTTTGAACCAATGAATTAAGCTTTCTTCCAAATGCAGCAATGCCAGTTACTAAAAAGCAAAACAGATCTATTTCTACATGTGGGTAAAGTCAGATGTCAAATCCAGGCACTACTAAGAAAGTCTTCAGAGTTAAAAAAAAACAAAAAAACAAAAAAACAGTAAGGAATGGAGTTACTGGAAGAAACTCTGTCAAAAGAGGAGGGCAGAAAAGAATAGTTTGGCTCCAAACCTGCTTTTCAGATCAGCCTACTCTATCATCTCCTGTCCGTAATTAGCAACATCAGAGAGATGATGAATGAAACAGAATGTCAATAATCTAAGAAACTCCCTAGGGCCCCAGGCGCTTAGCAACCTGTGCCAAGTTGTCTACCTGCCAATAACATGATTTCTTTCAAGCGCCCAGATGAAC